AACGTCATCGTGCCATGGCTAAGATAAATGGCTCCGAAGTTGTCACTGCGTGGTGAACAGCCCAGTCTTGCCACACGGAGACTAGCATGATCGCCTATCTAGCTTCGTCCGTCGGATTGTTACTAGCGATACCCGGGTCTCGGCCATGTCATGTCACTGATATACGTAAATGCAGTACTCCGTACTATATTGATATGTCAAGGGCTGTCATCGACGTCAGTTATCCCTACCTCAAGGCCTGAGACATTCACCGAGAGTGAAGCGATTAATCTTGCGCAGCTTTAGTCAGTGAAAAACGCGACTTGACACAGTCACGAAGATGAACGAAGGCTCAGTTATTGATAGATACTTCTGCAGGCTCATTGATGTACCAGTAGCTTGCAACGTAAAGTGTGAAGTATACTATCGATGTATGTGAAATGATGGACAATTGTGATGATCCGCTATCCGTTATATCGACTGTAATTCCCGAGTATGAGGACAGAATCGATGTTAATCCAGAAATCCAGAACGTGGATCAGGTGATACAAGCTTCTTCGTTACACTCGATGGTTGGTTGGGGATCATGTCACTATTAAACCGACGACAAGCCGCTATTCTTGAAGGGATTGTTTCAAGTCTTCAATGGCAAAGAAACATGCTCGCATTGTAAAAGCACCCAATTACGTGACACGGTGACGTCCCCTGCATGTTTTGATTAAAGGGCCTCAATCCCATCTTCAGACGAATGGAAATCCCCTGTTCATGCTTATCCCCCTGGTCCAAGGTCGTAGCTATCCGCTTCAAGGAGTTGACCGTTGGACGAGAAGTATGTCGCATCGTGCGGATAATTCTTGTGTCTGAGATCACGATGAATTATTCGATTATACGGATAATAAAGGACTAAAAAGGCCAAAAATAATGATCTTCATTTTGGCGTTGCACCGATAGTCGGGCTTTTCCTCGCCCGCGCGCCCTTGAATAGCAATTTGGGGGGCCGCTAACTCATGTTAACGTCTGGGTAAGGTACTTGCTGGCTGGTGAACTGATGCTGGCGTCACAAGTACCCCTGCTCCAACCAACATCCAATCTCCAGCTCCCAAAATATTTCCCCAAACCTTAACTTGCTCCGTACAACAACAGTTGTCACATCACCTCACCTGCAAGAGTCTCTTTTTCCCCTTCTCCCCGCTTGTTTATGTTTATTTCTCGTGCTATTCCCTCGACTACATCCTGGAACCTCTCTCCGTCGTCGCGACGGTGCATAGTTTAACGACTTGCGAATTGATTTGACTCCGTTGGCCGTCCCCGTGTCTCACCGCAACCAAATGATTGAGCAGCGAACGAAACGAAACGAAACGTTTATCACGACCTCATTGAACGCAGCGACTTTAATAATACGCGATCCTTGATGACCTCCTCAGAATACGGCTATTGATCCCCTTACGAGTCTGTCCTTACCATACTTGATTCGCAGCTTCGGTTATCCTGCATGTGCCACTACAGTTCTCGATTGATACGCTACCGCCAACGGGACTCCTTCCCGTCAATCTTCCGCTGCCTCTCGACATAAGCCGATCGCTTCGTGTTCCTCACCGAACGTACACGACCCATACTCGGTCTCCCTCCTCGCGGCGCGGCCAGGCGGCATCCGGCGCGGAGGGATGCAGGCCCTGAAAGGACAAGCGGAGCTTGTGCGCAAGGCGAAGGTATGTCTATTGGGTGAGCCCTACTGCGTCCTCAACATACATCTTAACACGCAATAGCTTGCTCGCTCGTATCAGGAGCTTCTCGAGTACGATCCCTTGCCTTCCTAAATGCCGACCTGCTAATCTCTGCTCGTAGCGAATTCGCGAGCCATGACCTCAAATCTGTTGGCAACTACGCTCTTGGAAGACTGATCGGGAAGGGATCTTTCGGAAAAGTCTACCTGGCGTCGCATAAACTGACCAATGGCTCCAAGGTACTTCAAGTCTAGCACAATGCCGACTTATCCTCAACAATGGCTAACCCGAACAAGGTCGTTCTCAAGTCTGCCAACAAGGGCGACTCGAACCTTGCACGAGAAATCCACCATCACCGGCAGTTCATACATCCACATATAGCAAGATTATACGAAGTTATTGTCACTGAAAACATGGTCTGGATGGTTCTGGAGTACTGTTCTGGTAAGTATCTGCTTGCCTCTTCTGTGTCTAACCTGCTAACTTCCACAAGGCGATGAACTCTACAACCACCTGCTCGAGCACGGTCCACTACCTGTTTCGAAAGTGCAAAAGATCTTCACACAGCTCGTTGGCGCAGTTAGTTATGTTCACAACCAGTCTTGTGTCCATCGAGACCTCAAGCTTGAGAACATCCTCTTCGACAAGCACGAAAACGTCAAACTGGTCGACTTCGGTTTCACAAGAGAGTACGAGGGGAGGACGAACCACCTACAAACATTTTGCGGCACCATCTGCTATTCTGCACCCGAGATGCTCAAAGGCGAAAAGTACGCTGGTGAAAAGGTTGATGTTTGGAGTTTAGGCATCATCCTCTATGCACTGCTGTGTGGTGAACTTCCCTTTGATGACGATGACGATAATATTACCCGGACCAAGATTCTGAGCGAGGATCCTAAGTTTCCCGATAATATGCCCCCCGAGGCTATTCCTTTAATCAAGGCATTATTATCGAAAAGACCATTGTTACGCCCATCGCTGCCCGAGATTCTTTCGAATTCATTCTTGGCTGAACATGCCCCAACACAGAGAGCCATTCTAGATGTCCAGCAACCGCCCCCTTTCTCGACCCCCTTAGAGAAGGATTGCTTACAGAGAATGCGAAGTTCTGGTGTCAATATTGACGGAGTGATCGAAAGCGTGTTGGCACAGAAATGCGATGCTTTGGCTGGCTGGTGGGCTCTGTTATTAGAAAAGGAACAACGCAAGATGCAGCGCAGGGAGAAGAAGAGAAGAGAAAGAGAGATCGACAGCCGCAGCCTTCGACGACTATCCGCGGCATCTAGTCGGCTAGAAAGAATGGCTCCAATCCTACACGAAGTTGACGAGGCGAATGGCACCGGGCGACATTTGAGACTTGAACCGTCAAACTCCCGAAACAGGGGGAGGAGCGAGCGACGAAGCGCTCATTACGTCGACTATGTGGTAACAGACCTTCCGCAGCTTCCAGAGGTTGGTAGGGACTCCGGAGGAATGAACGAAGACGGCGATCATCCTCCGCCACCTGTTGACAAAGACTCGATAAGGTCCGTGTCAACATCTCGCCAGCGCAGGCCTATTCCACCACCTAAGGAGGGTTTGATACGCAGTGCTCGGTCTCGAGGCTCTACTCTTCACCTTGTCACGACTTCGGACGCACTGGCTTCGAATGCTAGTGACGAGCATCATCAGCATAACGGCCATGAGAGGCCAAAAAGGAGACCTAGTCAACCGCTGATATCCCACTGGAAGAATATGACACATTGGCTTGTCGAAAGTGCGACAAGGAGGAGACGTGGCCACGCCAGGCGAACCAGCCAGAGCACCCCTGACCTGCACAAGAAGGAGGGGAGCACAGCCAGCAGTAAAGACGGGAGTTCGCGACCACAGACAAGCAAATATCCTAACTCTACCTCACCAGGAACACAACCAACTGCTTCACTGCCGAAGGGAGTCGTGGCTAACGGCCAGAAGACCTATCAGGCTGGGAGCAGTACCCAGCGAACGGCATCTGGAAGTCTAGCGTCACCAACAATTCCGCCACCTCGGATCGCAACATCGTACAAACGACAGTCATTGTCCCCTTCTCCTCTTACGCCGAGGTCAACTGTCAGGCGGTCATCAGCTGGGCTTCGGGGCCGAAAGTCGACATCATCCTCGGTATCCTCTGTTCGATCCATCCATCATCATCATCACTCGCATTCCAAAGCGTCGTCTACGAGCTCTGCTGCTTCATTCTCCACTTCGATGTCCAAGACACCTCTGCAGCGAGGACATTCACCACACCACTCAGTAAAGGTGCTTCCAGCAACACCCACGTCGCATGCCTTCCCATCCAATATTCGTCTCGTGCGAGCGACTCCGCCGACTCTGAATATGTTCAATGAAGGCATGCCATCCGAAGGTCCCCCACAAGCTCCAGGATCGCCTAACCCTTTTGCATCAGGCATCATGTTCGCCAAGCGGAAACGGAATTTGTTCAAGGGCCCGACGCTAAACAATTTTGGTGGGCCCTCTCAAAGCCAACGCAACAGTGGCTCCGGTTCGCATTCCCGCAGCGCTAGTGCCTCTGGCCTGGGACGCCGATCTGGAGAAATCACGATTCAGGAAGAAGACGAGGGGTCGGAAGACGACGACGACGATGTCGAAGAAGTTGATGTTTTTAGTCCGGTAATAGGTGGACCGGGGGAGCGGATCGAGGAGCAGATCTTTGAAGAGAATGAGCCTCAGCCGAGCCTAGAACCAGCGCCGATCATCATTCAAAACAAGTCAGAAGGCCCGTCCACGACCACTGCGGGGAAGGCACCTGCGACTTGATGAAAATTCTCCGTTAGAAAGCAGTTCAACGACTTGACGAATTATACTAGATAATCTCCTGGACGACAGTGGTGGAATCGCTTCATTACAGGGTCCAAAAGCTCTGCGGTACAATGCTGTTTCTGTTTCTGTTTTTATTCGTCTCCGATTCTTCAGCTTTGGCATCATTCGTTGAAACATCAAATGGTGCATAGCCCCTTATGGATACCTCTTTTTGTCATATACGATCATGGAACGATAGAGCTTAACAGACTATTATTTATGCGTTTGCAAAATCAGCCAGTCTCGCTTGTCTTGGTAACTTGTTCTAGATGAGAATCTGTCAGTCATTCACTTTGTTTCTTGACTTGTTCGGTCTTTCTGCAAGCTCCATAGCGCTTGCGTGAGACGCGCAAATAATTTTGAGTATCTGATTCCTTCGAGTATTTCGTTGTCTCGTCCAAAGAACACCTTCCAACAATTGCTCCGTAGTACTAAATGTTTGTGAAAGCAGCCAATCTCCTAGAAAGAGTGCGAGTGGCTTCGTCTTCGAGACTTCTTGTTCAGTATTGCCTCTCGCTCTTCGCGTAACGTGATCCAAACCCAGAACCATGTCATTGTTTCAATAAAGATGAATGTGAAGAATAGGCGGTTCTTTAGCATGTCGCCGCCCCAGCCAGCAGGGCGATATGATGGGTTATACGAGCTCGGATGCGACAGGTGGCTGCGAGAGGACTTGTCGTACATGGGAGACGATGGGCCAAACAGGAATATGTAGACGACGAAACCGAGGGAGAGGAACGATCGCAGGGGAGCTGAATGGCAATTAGCGGCGATCATAAGTAGAACTCGGGCATGGGATGCCAACCTTGTGTACCCCAGTGGAATATCAGGCAGACTTCATCTGGCATGGATAGGGATACCAGATCACTAAAGCCGACGAAGACGAGAACAGCGGCGAGGAATGCGAGTGGAGGACTTTGCAGTTCAAACCCTCTTGCTAGAGGCTTCATCATGAGTCGAGTCAGCTTTACCAGGCTTCGAAGACGTTGCGACCAGCAGCCATGCTGTGAGGGAGACTCACCATTCCCATGCTTTCTCCTAGCATGAAGACCAGCGCTTGCTCATTGATGGAGCTTGGATTGGTGATGAAGAAGTATGCGAGGGTAATATGGAAAAGGGAGACGGATGTTATGATCGTTTTGGCAGATATGAGCGCCATGGTTGCGTTTGGTTCCCTCTGGGGATGGTGTCTCGATGTACTTGGCTCGTTCGTGTCGTGTGCGTCGCAGTATGAGGCTTTCGCCAGTCGCAAAGAAGGGGAAACTGGCAGCAGAAAAGGATGGGCTCAAGAGGTCAAAAAGAAGCGATCTTGTGTTTAAAGGAATGTAAAACAAAAGACCCAGCTGGAAGGCGTACTGATTAGCACTTGATCAACATCCAGGTCACGCTGAACAGTTGTTAGGTTGTGAAAACTACCTTACCTTACCTTAGCAGCAAGCCAGGGGTTCTGCCATGCGTCACCCGCGCATGATGCCCTGGGCATTTGCGGGCCGCTAACCGCGGCTAGCGAATTGGATCCGATTGCAGGAGCGCCTCATGGCGTCGCGGGACAGCATTTACTGTGGCGGTACTTGTGGCTGAAACGTCAATGCCCTTGTTTGGATTTGACTCCACTTTCCCACTCAAGCTCGAGCTCGAGCTGTGAGCTTTGTTGGAAGGTAGGACTCGGACATGCACGCACCATACCGAGCGTTACATTCACTTTGAGCAATTTCAACCAATACATTCGCTCTACACAGCGGGAAAACATACGACTGTTAAAATCGGGTGTCTATTCTTCAGAAATGTCGGAAACGGGTGATCCCTCGCTGGATAAGCAACGGCACATCAAATATTGGCAGCGCTGTCATAAAACATATCTCCCATCCGCTTACACAGCCTACGACTCGACCCGCCTTACTTTCGCTTGCTTCACTATCTCGGCGCTTGACCTTCTCTCTGTTCCGCTCACCCCTACTGAACGTGCTGCTATCCGTCGGTGGGTTCTCAGTCTGCAGCATCCAGAAGGTGGCTTTTGTGGAAGTCCAACGCACGCATTACCAGCTCAAGAAGCATACAAGGGCACAGCAAATATCGCAGCTACCTTTTTTGCGCTTGAACTGTTGGGTCTGGCGGCCGATGGTGAGGATGAAGCGAGATCAGCTTTCAGCGGGGTGGACAGAGTACGGTTGTTGAAGTGGCTGAATAAGCTTCAGAGAAAGGATGGGAGTTTCGGGCAATTCTTTTGGGATGGAAAGATTTTGGGTGGCAGAGATATGAGACACAGCTACCTAGCGAGCTGTATTCGATGGATGTTGAGAGGAGATGTGAAGGAAGGCGATGAGGGCTGGGTGGAGGATTTGAACATTGATGAAATGATTGCTCACATTAACAGAGGCCAGGTACGTTGTACTTACTTGAGCGATGCCGTCTCACTAACACCTCTTAGACATATGACGGTGGAGTGGCAGAATCGTCGCAGCACGAATCCCATGGTATGGTCCCTTGACTCATTGTATACTCGCATAACTCACCTATCTAGCTGGATATGCATACTGCGCGATAGGTGCGCTGTCACTTTTAGACAGGCCACTAGACTCGACAACACCGCATCCTCCCGAAGAGGCACTGAAACGGGGCGTCCCGAATCGTGATGGGCTCCTACACTTTCTCGCCTCCCGCCCCTTCGCCTACCTCGCCAAGGAAGAGGAGAAGGATGAAGTTGAGGAAAACTTTTTCGAGTCAAAGGCCGGTGAGCTCGATCTTGGTCACATCGGATTCAACGGTCGATGGAACAAGAAGGCCGATACGTGCTACTGTTGGTGGGTTGGCGGTACGCTTAAAGTAAGTTTCCCATGTCTCCTTGAACAGAGCACAGGACTTACTCGTCTTCCAGATGCTAGGGAATTCTAACATCATCAACGTCATTCCTTCGCGACGCTATCTTCTTGATATCACACAGCATCCCATTGGCGGCTTCTCCAAGTCCGTTGGAGGGCCTCCGGATATGTACCACTCGTATCTCGGTCTAGCTGCATTGGCGACCATGGGTGACAATGATCTAAAAGAATTCGACGTGGGACTATGCTGCAGTCAAGAGACGACGAGGAAAATACAAAAGGCGAGGGACGGACTCAGAGAGAGCACGAGACGGGATGGGAAAGCCTGGTATGAGGATGACTTCTGGTAGATCTCGTTTCAAACAGCGCCTACAGCCTTGAGTATATATAATGCAAATCCCTGGGCTCCTGTGTGCAATACTTTAATCATGCCTACCTAGCGCTTTTTTACTCCAAACTATAAGTACTTGTTAATAATGCGGTGGGCATTTCTACTCTGTATCGCGACGATTTTTGGCCTCTTGATCTATAACCAAATCTATTCACAACCTAAAATTTCGATACAGTCTTCGATACAGTCTTATGAAACATAGACATAAACCTTTTTGTAACATAAAATTCGTCGAAGAGGAACGATCTCTGAGCAGCCCAATACCTAGTCTAATGAGTAGGCTTCAGGGTAGTCTAAGCGATCCATAAATATGACATCACGAGACAGTGAAACAATATCCAGGCATACACAACGATGCATTTGCTGGTTTAATTGTCTTCTGTAACTACGACACTGGAGGCGAATAGATCTCCAATCTACTTCTTGTAACGTAGTTTTACAATTGGCATTTATGAGATTCGGCTTTTGTAAACTCTCTCTAAATCCGTTCAAAACGGATTGGCGATCACCACTAACCCGCTTTGGGAACCGTTCGGCCCCGCCTTAACGTTGTCGGCTTGAATCATCTTAACCATACTGCGAATTCCAAGACTCCATCGTTTACCCCCAAACGTCGCCGCCATGTCCTCTTCACCAAAAGACACTACTGAGGCCACGGAGCCTCCGAAGTCAAGCGATACCGATAACCAAGCATGGAACGAAGACAAACGCCGGAAGTTCGAAACGTCAGCGATAGCCCCACCCGTCAACGATCGCGACACTGACGAGGCGTAGGAAATCGAAGAGCGAGTTCTACGACCCATGCCAAGAGGCGGCGCAAAGGAGCTATAGATGCTTGTTCAGGAACGGAGGCGATAAGAATATGTGTGGAGAGTATTTCCAGTATGTTGCTTTGGATGGAGCAATCGGGGCAGGGTGCTGACGCTCGAGCAGGGCATATCGCGATTGCAAACAAGCATGGGTACGTTATATATACACGATGCTACAGCTGAAGAGAATACCCGATACTCATCACTCCCATAGACCGACAAACGGAAAAAGGAAGGCCGCGGATGGTTCTAGTGGGGATGTTTGCTCTCGGCAGCCTGGCTCGGCATCATGACTGACGACAGAGGTACCATTGTAACATCAAAGGAGTTTACCTATATACTGTACAATACGGAAGCGCGGTGCAACATTCTGCTATCTTTACTAAACAAAAAGTCTGATCTTATCTCAGTGCAAGCATCTTTGAGAGAAATCCCAGTCCACCTCGACTGACAGGCTAGGTCACCGCATCTTCGCAAATTGGTAGGGCAATATTATGATCTGTACGTCTCTATCCTAAGGTGTCTCAAACATCCACCGCTTTTCTACACCGATGGGAACACAGCTACTGTTGAGATACGAAGACGTTCCAATCGCTGCTTGCCATGTTTCACTGTTAATGCCTGGATCAACACCTCGTCTTACACGAGCTGGCGTGGTGTTCTGAGATTGATGAGGTCTGGGCGTCGCCATATGGTCGGTAGTTGGATAATGGCTTATCATTGAGGCACGAAGGATAAAAGATTGCACAAAATGCATGGTTGTTCAATTTGGGAACTGCGTAAACACTACCCCGTCGACAATCTATCGGAACCCCCCAACTGGTGACAATTGTCAGTCATGCGGTCGCGAGATTTGTCGAAGGCGGATTCCTAGAGTATAAATACCAGTCGCACTATCCAAACGGGCATCAGGCTCGTACTGGAACCGAGCCTCGTCGGCGCACTTGTTCAGCCTCGTGGCGTGCCATGTTGAGCACTCTTCAAACACCTGCTTGTCCAAAGCCACTCCAACGTCAGCTGTCAATCGGATTGAATCCAGCATTCTCCCAGTTCTAAGCGAGTATACCCTCCAAGAATCGAGTGTGAGCCCGATCGTCAACGTGCATGCGGCTCCTAGCGTCCCAAGTCCGAACATGAGAATCCATGGAACAAATGTCATTGCGTATTCATCGATGTTGGACTGGACTTGATATCTCTCAGCCATTACCGTTTGGTCATTGTCAAGGAGTACTTGACGGGCCTCTATTTCGTACCATAGGAAAGCATCGGCAAGGGTTTCCAGGTCCCAAATCTGTCGACTTCCTTCCGTCACCGCTCCAAGTGCCGCTCGAAGTAAGTGTCCGCCGAGCCCGGACGGTCTGCCATCACGCCTATCGTCAAAGGTATCAGTACGTGGCGTTAAGCTCAGCACCGGAATATCGTGCCCTGTATCAGGCTTCTCATCGACAACAGTGTTCTCAATCATCGACCAGTCGCTCCCGTTCACTTTGACATCAGCCCATCCAGTGGATCTATTTAAACGGCATGTCAAACCTGAAAATGTCAGGCTGTGATTTGTTTGTCGATGCTCAGTACCGGGCAAACCTTTGGCAAAAGGTATCAAGCTACCCCATCGCTCTGTAGTAACCACTGGGGCATCATCGTACCCGGAATTCATAACCCCGATCCAAAGAGCAGTCTCATTGAAGGCAATGAGTGGATACGTGTCTCTCTTTCCATTCAGTACTATATCTGATATATCGATTTGGTCTTTGCCGAGCGATGCTTCGTATGTGATTGACTCTGAGCCGAATACTGAAGCTGTTTCCTCAAGGACAAACCTGAGATGCTGGTTACGTTTGTCTGGCAGCATCATTGATACGTCTCGAAGATGAGAGGGACTGCAAATCATTTTCAGTCGATAGACTGAGGCATGATATAGTTGCATGACGGCAGGAGAAAGGGACGAACGTGATTGATCCGAGACATTGACGCTCACCAGTCCTGTTATAGATGGCTTGAGCATCCCTTGCTGTAGGCGTGAAAGCCTATCCTGAAGTCTTGCCGAAACCTGTTGCCGGATTGACTGGTCGTCCAGTGGTATTGGGCGTGAGCCTCCCGGCAGCACCGAATGTGTATCATGCAGATATTCAAGCACCTGCGTAGATGTATCCACTCCGGCCTGTTGATATGCCACAGCATTGCCAAGCAACGAGAAACTCAGGGCTGAGAGAACAGCGATCATTCCCAAGGAGATCACGCGAGGCCTTCTTGAACGGACGAAAGTCCAGAACTTGAGTGGGCTAAAGGACCCCCAGTCTGTGCTGGCGACTTCAACGAGGACCTTCATGCTCACGGCTGAGTTTCTTCCGCTATGCTCGTTTACAGCAGAAAGACGAGCAAGTTTGAACATATGCCAATTGGCGACTGCGACGACGGCTGGAGCCACCAGGATGGAGAAAGCCGCGTCGATGAGCTTGGCTTCAGTAGAGGAGAGCTTGCCTCCAACAATGACGGCTGCTATGTAGCTTCTGTCTGTCTTGACTTGGATATATGCGATGAGCCAGCAACTGGAGATGAGAGAAGCTGAGCCGATGAACGCAATTGTTATGAGGGAGTATAGAACATGTCTGTTGAGGGGACAGTCCGTGTGTACTGACGTGAGGTCCTCTATAATCTTATCCTCTCGACTTGGTGCTAGCAGTCCATCGTGGTCCGATTGAGTGCCGTGTTGAGTATCTTCGGGCTTGGGAGTTCCTAATGCACCGGTGTCGGCAGACTCAGGGTCATCTTCTTCTGCGACTAAGCTGAGAGGTGATACTGGTCGGTTCGCCATCTCAAAAGACTCATTTTCTGGCTGGGCTCCCATGTTCATTGGATAAGAAGGGAAAATTGTCTTGCTCAATTGTCCGAAAGCAACGAAGATTGCCAATGCATTTATACTTCTCTAAAGATGAGAACATTTCGATGGAACCGCATTTCAACACCAACCACAAAATGAGGCTCGCAGATGGGTTGTGCCATCAAGGCTGAAGCGGATTTACTGTGCTTGTGTCCCGAGAGCATGACTGAGGTTGGCAAGATCCTTCCACCTGATCGCACAAGTGTCTCTGATGACCTATTCTGTATAGTCAGTAATACGAGTGAAACCAGGTGATGACAAATATTACTCGCCAGAACCGTCGTGATCGCGGGATATTTCGAGCATCGCCTCATTGTTGTAACTCGATAGCATGCGGTGGTAATGCCTAGACTCGGTCATCGATGCGATTATTCGCCTATGACACCCTCGGTCGCCGATAGAATACTTCGCAAACCGCATTCAAGTCCTACAAAGGGTAGCGGGCTTTCCGGTATTGCGATGAAATTCCCATATGGAAGGGGTTTGCATGGTTCCGAGGTTGCTGAGCAAGCGCCAGATCTCAAGTGCCTCGGGTATGATGAAAGTTTCAGTCATCGGACAAAGACTTGCATGTCCTCTGCTTGTCCCTGTCCTTCTTGGATCGGTGTGCTGCATCTTCCTCAAATGAACAATTCTTGTTGTCTTTGAACTCTCAATTGAGTATTGGGCATGTCAATCTGTAAAAGGGCACGGTGACTAGCTGAGTGACGATTGACAAATTGTTGCCACGTTCACATTGCGGAAGTCCTCTAACCTTTACATCTTAGTTACTATCGTTTGTAGAATGTAACTCTACTGTAGAAAGAGGTCCATATCTGAGGTGCAGTGCACTGCCTTGAACTGCTACGTCTCATGCGGTGGCTCACAACTTCCCAGAGTACAGAGTGAAGATGCCTGGATAGAACAGGGGACCATGACTGAGAGAGGTTGACGATTGAGCTGGCAATAAAACCACGGATTATACTGACAGATGTAAGCGCTGTGACATTGAGAGCACAACTGAGTATAATGCTTGAGTCTGGAAACACGCGGTGTTAGGTATTTCTGTTGATGCTGTAGCAGAGCCAAAGCATTGGAGAAGGTGCGACAGAGTTGGCGGTGATGTGGCGCAGGCCGCACCGCCACTAATCCGCCGCCCCTCCCACCTTCCTGTGGCATCCCACTTCAATTTGAGCCCCTCCAAACTCTGACGCACCTCACTCTCAATAAACCAAGTCGATTCTACCTAGTTAGGGCGGGAAAAGCGTCGCGAAGTTTGACACTCATGAATCGCCGAAAGGTACCCAATCTCAAGAACGGTGTCGACCTCCAGCTGCAGTCTGCGTTTAACGATGGCAACTGGGCTGCTGTGGTCCGTCTTGCAGAGAAGCGGGCCCAAACTTCCAACGACCAATATTATGAGGTGCGATTTGATGGGAGCTGTACTTGAGCCATCTGTAGACTGACCCATATGAATAGATTATGAAAATATGTGCTGAAAGCCACCTGGATGATCCCGTTTCCAAGTTCGCGGCCATAACCGCTATTGACAAGTATGTCAGAGAAGGAACCGTTGTCAAAGATGTCGAATCCATGGATCTCCTTGAATGGGCCAGCCTCGGCCTCGGCCTGATGGACGAAGAAGACTTTCCCAAGACAATTGGACCATTGAGGGTACGTCTTGTCAAGGCTGCGCCCAAGGATCTCCGAAGCTTCAACGACTGCTTTGAGTCATGCTTAATGCACTGGGATCTTATCAGCGTGCAACAGGTACGGGAACTTGTTACTGACAAGAGTTACCATTAACATATTCCCAGATTGCCGCGATATTAGACAGAACATTCCCTCGAGATCATGGCTTTATGTTTTACAACATCGTGACCACGCATTTATTGGCGGTTAGTGCAGCAGTCTTATGTTTAATTCCTCACTGATTCCGGCCAGACTAGCCCTCAACTACCCCTAGAGAAAAAGAAGCTATATGGGATGCTCGCACTGAAACAGATTCAGCGTGCTGCACAATTGGCTGAAGAGGTATTACCCTTTCGTTAATAATTAGCCCCTAAACTCACAATCCTAGACTGCGGCTACTGGAGACGAAGACGTCGAACCACCGCCACGAAGTGTCCAAACAGAAGAAGAGATCCTGCTGTTATACGATGTAACTGAAAAGCATGGTTCCAAGGATGACTTGGCAAAACTCGTCTCAAGTCCCGTCTTCAGTCCTCTTGTTCAGTTCCGAAAGGGCAGGAAGGAGTTGATGCTACGCACCATTTCTCGCTACCAACAAGAACAGCAGTTCGAAGCTATCTTCGAGTTGTGTAGGGATTGTTTATCAATCGAAGGCGAAAACGGTCAGCCAAGTCTCATGGCGGGAGACTGGAAAGTCTGGAAGCATTTCATTGAAGCCGCCACAGAGATCAAGAATACCAAGCCAGAGTATGTGCGAACTCAAGAGCAGAAGAAGCCCCGACTGACAATATTCAGCATTGAAGAAACTGTCCAACAACTCCTATTGAAGTTCATCAAGTCGCCAAATCTGCGACCCATCCACGAGCGCACTATTCTATTGGCGCGTCTCTCGGCCGCCTTCAATCTTGCATCGAACGACGAGGACGATGTTATTGAGAACGTGCCTACATCATTCCGACTCAAGGAACTGATCAGCTACGTGGAGAGCCAAGGGACAAATGCTGCGTGCTTTGATGAAATCAAAGCCTTTGCAGAGAGACTCAGCCCAGTCGCATTATGTTACATGGCATACGGGCTCGTTCCAATCTTGGCTCGGGCTGCAGAGGACGAAATTCAGTCGGCTAGACTGATCAACCTTTCCTTCAAGCTAAAGTACTTTGCGGCCACATGCCCCTCTATGTACGGCGCAGTACCAGGCATAAAGCCTCAGCGCAAATGTTTGGTCTCTGGTGTTGAACTTGATGCTAGCTCACCCGGGCCTGCTTTCTCAACCATCGCCGAGGCTGCACTCGAGGCTTACCGGTCGCTATCTGACTTGACTTCAAAAAGCCCTACTATCGAGGCTGAGATCAGACCGGAACTGGCTGTCATTATCGGTCTTTGCATAATCCAAACTGCATTTCCTCCGTCAGCCGGTACCTCGAACGTTCCTGTCTCTTACGCCCCCCTGCTGCGAGCCCTACTCTTTCTCGAACACCAGCTCACTTTGACACCGAAACACAACATCATCTCCCTACTTCTAGTACAACTGCATCTTCGAGTTGGTTCCGCGTCTCGTGCCCGAGAAATCTGGAATACACTGGGTGTCAAACGCACCATCATGGACTCACTCGCTCCCATTTTTTACGACCGCCTCTCGACGATTTCACCTGCTCTCATCTCATCATCGGACCGGACCGGTTGTGAACTTATGGACTTGCTGAGCTCTCACTTCAAAACGTCACTGAAGCTTAAAATGCCCTCGCGGCTAATAGATGCTATCCATTCGAAAAGTTATAGTAGCGCTATCGATATCCCCGAATACATGGAAAACCTGCGGTGGAGCTGCACACGAGTGATGAGTCTGGTAGAAGATGTTAGAACCGATCGCCTCATGGGAGAACGCTTCTCAGAGCTGTTGACCGATCCCCGATTCAGTGAGTCTTTCAGCCGTTCACCACTCTTGATAAAGTACTAACGAAAGAAGCCGAAGTGACCGACGATATGAAACTGGTTGAGACCATAGACTATGGATCTTTCCCGTCATGGGACTACAGTTCTCAACCACCTGTGTACTCCCGTTTGCGAGTTGGACCACCGCCAACAGTATGTCTTCCCCTCCCCATGAAGCAAAGCTAACATGTGTAGAATCGTCGCGCTCATCTATCCCTCCTCTCTGAAGCATTCCATGAACTCTTGGGTTACAAGCCTCCTCCCAATTATAAGGCTTCTGCGGCAGCCGCCATTACAGACCAAATCTTCGTCCTCGAATCACTCAGTCAACTTAGCAATTCTTTCATGAAGTTCTCTAACGGTCCCAGCGGCGACCTCACCCCACAAGAAGCAACCTACTTTGAGGTCATCAGCCTACTCAGTACTCTCATTCCTTTCGCAACCGGTATCAATAGGGCCAAACCCATGCCCGAGGAATTTTTCCAGATTATGGACACTCTGAAAATTGCCATAGACACTCTCAAGCTAGAGCTTCTGCCTCTCGCAAACGCCTCAGAGCAAGTCACAACTCTGAGCACGCTTCATTCTCTCGCCATCCTCCGCGACACTTCCATCGCTATTAAAGCCTCGGCCCAATGGGTTATTGCCTTCAATGATCGCGAAAAAGAGCGTGATCGCTCTGGGAAGAGTAATCTTCCAAAAGAGGTCATGGCACAGATCAGGGAGCTTGTGACGATATCTGAGGGTACACTGAAGGAGGGCAAGGCCACCGTGGCGAAGATGAAAGAACAAGTATATGGGCGAGACTTTGAGCCCGCGGTAAGAGCGTGGATTTTCGAAGACGCAGATAACATTTTGGGCATCGTCGGAGAGGCAGCGACGAAGAAACTCGTCCAGAGCTGGGAATCCAACATTAAGGGGTGGACCCAGGTAGTGTGGAGTTAGGCGTTTTCGACTGTCAACGTACACCAGAATAGATCGATGGCCTCGAAGGAACTTACCCTTTCGACACCACCTCTCATGTCACTGCACTGGCCAATGCATGGCTGGCTTATATCAGTTGGAGGTTGACTACGAGCTTGGGCTGGGGGCCAGATGGGCTTGATTCTTCAGGCTCCGGTATAAGGTCAATGTGAAACCTCTGCCGTAGCTCCCGTAATCTTACATTAGTGGGATGAATGATAAAAGTCATGGTTTTACCACTGTCAGTGTCCAATGTCGTGTCAACTGCGCTGCTTTCATGCAGTTTTTGGTCAATGTAGTCTTGGCCCTTTCGAGCTGCAAGCATAAGCTCGCCGTATCGAGTTCTGTCAAATTCTTTCATAGCCGCATTGTTTTCCCATAGCATCTCTGCTAGTTCTGCACAATCGGCGAGAAGAGCGAGTGCCATTTCTCTATGAAATTCGATAGCAGAGAGCTGCTGTGAATACAACTGTAGAGTGCGTGATGCCTCGTGCATGTTCTCCATGCAAATTGGCGAGTAACCCTGCGAATCTCGTATATTGATCTTGACCTCGGACATCGTTGCCTGAACAAAAGGCCTGGCGCCAACTAGAGCTTGATCGTATAGCGATTCATCGAATTTATCTGTTATGACACGCTTTTCACGCATGCGATTGAGAAATGAGCAGATCAGTGGCTCATACTCCCATTCCATTCGTATTTGCATCGTGCCCAGTTGCTCTTCCATATGTGCGATACCTGGAGGTCGGCGTGATGGCCAGATTGAAGAAACCAAAGACCTAAAAAGCGCCAACTCATGTATGGCGATCAAGGGGTATTCCTCGAAAACCATCTGCGGCTTATCTTCAAGCATCGCAGGCTTCAGAGAATTACCAGCGACTGCCGTCAAGGGGGTTTTGTGAGTTGCACAGTGGGCATTTGTGCTTTCTCCGCCACCGATAAAACTCTGGACGAGACACTCAAACGAAGAGGCCATAGCTAGATGAGGCACTGAAAGCCCATGCTTATCTTGCAGGATAGCATTGGCACCGTGGTCGAGCAGCAATTTCACGATGGGATCGATATCGCGCCCTACGGTATGATAAAGTGGCGTGTGACCTTGGTCATCTTGCGCGTTGACTTCGGCTCCACGGTCCACGAGGAGTCGTACTAATGACTCCATTTCGGAGTCGACCGCCAAGTGTAGTGCTGTTCGACCTTCCTTGTCTCGTCCGTTCACATCAGCCGCGTGGTCGAGTAAAACTCGGACGAGAGGCTCGACCTTATCCGAGGTGGCATGATGTAGAGGTCGCGACGTTTCGTCAATCAATATGTTGGGATCAGCGCCGTGTTCCAACAGCGTCTGAAACATGGGCACCTTGTCGACTGATATCTTGGAATCCTTGAAATGTCTGAAACCTGCCTCTAGTGCGCCTGGTTCCAGTGGCGCGCCATATTGGAATAGGTATGTTACGATAGCATCCTGCCCTCGTCGAGCTGCATATGTAATTGGCGTCCCGCGTAGATTTGCCCCCTTCTTGAGAAGTGTTTCGGCGAGCGAAAGGTGGCCAAGGCCACATGCCATCTCCAGAATCGATACATTGTAAGAGTCAAGTGCGTCGATCGAGCATCTCTGTAACATCCATTCTGCGGCCTCTTCGAACCCAAAGTACGCCGCCTCGTGAAGGCCAGTGGTCCCAGGATTGAATCCACCAGCATATCTCAGACGCTCAGTCACCTTGACAAGTTTCTCTGACGACAAAAAATTCTTCACAATATCAGGCATTTCCGAGACGTCGCGAGCGTGGTAACCCCAATGGCATGATGCATATCGACAGAGGGGATAGTCTCGGAGCGTCTTCTTAACATCATAATCTTCGTCGCTCTCTGTAACTTCATTTTTGATCTTCCAATCTTGGCTTTTCGAGCGACCAAGACCGGGACTCGGCGATCCTGGATTTTGGTCTTTCGATTGATCAATAACAGTATCCGAATTTTCTGCAGCCCTTTGTACCGTAATATCAGGTTTTGGACTTCGAGCAGTCCTGACTTGATCAACAATAAGATCGTAAGATAGATATGTCAGTGTTTTAACGGTTATTTCTCGAGCAGCATTTGGGAACCACTGGTCCTGTGTTCGCTCGAAATATTCTTGTGTTGTGAAATGTGCTAGTCGCACAGTGTTGCTCTGTTCGTCAACGGTAACCAGCCCAGCGCAAGCAGAAACGATGTCGGGGATCTCGCTAAGATTTTCCTCATCAAAACCTGTGGAGTCTATTTCGATGCCAAGGGCGTGTTGAAGTTCCACGGGACTGAGCAACCGCCTGGCGCATGAAATCCACATGAGTGCTTCTTTGGCCAATATCGCTTGATCTGTTAACTGGTCTTCTATTCGTTTCATAGCATCGCCATACGCCTTGTCGTAGGCTTTTGACGTGCTTGAGCTACTCGGCAAAGCTTTGAGAATAGTTCGCACAGCTTTCGGTGATCTCTTGCCGACAAGAGAATCAAGGTGTAGCTGGGCAAGAAGAAACCTAACTTAAGATTAGCATTGAAGCTTGTTCCAGGGAGGTGCCGCCTTACATCCCCTGGACTGATTCCAGTATTCTTGTCTTGATTTCCTCTTGCAGCTCCGGCTTGTTCTGAACAAAAACTGGGAGTTGAGTCATTCGACCAGTCAGGTATCTTCTTACATCCGGCTCACTGGCGCGGATTTTAAGAGAGACGGCTTTCCTGAACTTCTCCTTGATCTCTGGTATGTACCTGGAGGTTGCTAGGATATTTGTGCTTGTTGCACTCTGCAGGTCAAGTACTTGTTGGATGAAATTGGGTAGTGTACCGTCGGTGGCCTCGCATTCGTCCAGAGCGTCAAGGACGATATACACGCGAGAATATGTCGCGGCAACCTCTTGAAGGACACGGCCAAGTTCCTGTAGCGATGGACGCGTACGAGATGCCTTGCGCTTGTTGTATAGCTCCTCTACCGGCTTAAACAGAGAAGGCTGGTTCTCACTCAGCTGCTTCAAAAGATTCGCAATGAGGTCACTGGCTTTCTGCTCGTGGCGCCGACGGAAGTTACAGTAGATGTATGCAACTCCAATGTTACTCTCGGAATGGAAGGATTCGAGTAATGAATTGACCACGATGGATGCCATGATCGTTTTGCCAGCACCTGGAATACCAGGGCAGAACAATGTTTGTTTGTCACCTTTCACCCAGGTATTATACTCATCTGATTCCAGCAGCCATTCACCAGTTCCTGGCTCTCGCCGGCTGAAAATATCGCTTTGTTGGGGAGCATAGTCCACGGGTGACATCCAGTCAAGGACTTCTTTCTGGTGAGCGCTCATCTGACTGTTTTGAAGATGCCCGATCCCTTCTGCTATGTTGAGGTTGGACAGCTGTATGCCGGTCAGGATACGATCAAGCTGTGCGACTCGAAGCTCATCATCAGCCGATTTGTTCTTGATAAGTCTGACCAAATCGGTCAATTGTCTGCTATTGTCGTCTGAGGTTGCCTTGATGTGTTGAACTAGCTGTCTGTGTAGATGTCAGTCATTGATACCAGTAATAGATGGAATGACACCTACGTGCTTTCGTGTGTCATGGCAAAATGCAAAAGTGATCTTTCGCGCTGAAATGCATCGACGAGCTTTGCCACTTCCTTCTCGTCGAATGGCCATTTCAAGGCGGCCTTAACTTTCTGGATCCCGCTCCCGTGACTTGGTTGCAGTTTTGTTTTGACAGCATCGAGGATCTTAAACAAACGATACAAAGGTGCATTGTCGCTCTCCAAGGCCCTGACCTTGACCGACCACGTCTGGGCACTATCAGTCTTGGTCTGGTCAGCGTCCCAATCCTCAATCTCGGGTCCATCAGTTCCTTTGGAATAATTGCGGAGTCGCAAGAGGAGAGCCTCGCAGGCTAATATTTCGTCAAGCAGTCTCTGTCGATCCTTTGAGGCCCCAGCGACGCCGATGATGTATTTCGTAACCTCAGCCGTGAGTTGCACCACTGCGATTATACTCGCAGCACCCGAGAGGCCATCCATGTTGTTTCAATAAGTTGGGACGTGATGGATCAATGAATCCGAGGCCTGGGCTACCTATTTAAATTGCAGATCGCTCAGCCTACTTGGCAGCGATCACATCGCATCTGTAACGGCTCAGCCGCATTCTGCATGTTCCTTTGCAAGGATGGCCAGGGCTGAGCCAATTATGTTGCTGGGAAGTATTTCATCCTCGAAGTCCGTAGGAGTAAGCCGTCGCAGTGGTGCCTGATGCGAACACCCTTCATCTATTGCCAGTGAGGCAGTATTTGTCTACCATCTATTTTTCCAGAATGATGGGGGATATGCCGGCGTCTTCATCATAGATAGTTGCGTGAAGAATGTCTCTTTTTGGCTTATGGCTTGAGTCAATATTCTTGCGCAAGGCCAGGATGACAATAACATACATGGAGGGACCGACAGTACTAACAAATTGGCTGGTGAAAAAAGTCCCAGCAATTTCCCTGTGTACATAAGGGCACCCTGCAAGAGTCACAGATGTAGTAGGTCTGCCGCACCTTTGCCCGAGGCACCACTGGCCGACTCTTATGCGAGCTCTGTGTAATAAGGTCACCAAGCCTGACTCCTTGGCAAGCCTTACATCTACCGTTGTTATCGCCCTGAACATGCTTATGCTGTGAAATAGGAAGGAATTCGTTCCCACTGCGAAATCGCCTGCGGAGGGTGCTTGCGGAGGCATATTTCCGCATGAGGGCTTCTGTGAGGGTATCTCTCCAGTCCGCCTGTGACCTGTAAGTCCCCCAGTTGCACTGACCCTTCTGTTGTAAAATGTATGTATTGACAAGGATTGTATCGAGGAGGAAAGTCCACGCAAGGGCGTGCCACCCATCGTGTCGGTTTCGTCGTTGACCACAGCCTCTGTGGGCACGCAGCTGATCGCCGCGGTCAACTCCGTTCATGTTGAAATTATAGGCGATTTTTATGGAAGGTGTATCTATCATGCGTTCGTAATCCAAGCCGAAGAAGCGAGCCTCGCGAGCTTGCGCCTGAGTTGTGTTGGGACGGCTGCGAAGGTGCTGGGCGGTCTCGGAGCCGCTGAAGGAGGTCATCCACAACACGATGCACTTATCCTTGAACGCAGTATGGTTAACCTAGGGAAAAGAAAATACCGATCAGTAAGGGGAAATAAATGAGAGAAAATGGTGCGAGCCTACTAGGCCATCCTCTGATGGTACAGCTCGAAGGGAATCAAAGCCCCACTGCAGACGGCCTTCGCGGTCGGCCTGCTTCGCGATCACCAAGTCGCGATAAACACCGTGATCAACACCCTGATTGGTAGAAGCTGTGCCTGTAGCCGCGACGCCTCGCTCTCGCAAAGCTTTTATAAGCGATGGTGTTGAAAAGAGTTTATCGAAGAATATGTGATAAGTTGCAGGGGGCAGAGATACTGCAAGATCAAGCACAAGACGCTGTTTTTCGGTGAAGCTGTGAGAATGTTTCGCGGCGGCGAGCAGGCGTTTGCGCAGCCCTAGGGATGTGATATTCCCACCGCAGAAGATAGCCTTTTTCAGCGGCAGCCAAGATCTTGAGGCCAAATTTATTCGTGCCTTTCCCAAGGGATCGCCCTTTGAGTATTACGATCTCATTAACCGATAAATTCGTACCTGGAATAAGAAGCTGCGTTGATACGGCTTGGATAAGGTCTCCCCACTCCTGAACACGCGATATCATGCGCTCGACCTCATTCTCAGGCTCGTCATTCTCAGGCTCGTCAGAGGGAGGAAAAGCCCTGATATATCGGGAAATCAGAGCAAATTGCCTGAAAGTAATAAACTTAGCAATAAAATGAGTAGGAGTGATTTTCCCAGGAACAGATGTGACCCAATAGTCAGCAAGTCGCTCGCAAGGGTTGTTTCCCATATACCTAGATAAGTGTTGCGAGCCAAATGTAGAGGTTTGCGACCGTAAGGGGTTTCCACTGAAGAATATCTGCATTTTTGGCATTGGACGCACCGGACGCCTTCAAGATAGTCTCAACATGCGTATTAGTCCAAGTAACCCATTTCTCAACAAGAAATTCAGGGCAAAATAGGTGGATAAGGCCAACAGGTGAATCAGGAAGCGGCATTGTGAGGGTGTCGCGAGATGCGGGTTTGAAGGCTATCGGCCGTGATTGCAAGGCTTCTTATTGTGACAAAAAGCTAATGTGTTATTATTTTGACCGAGTGGCTTAGATCTATCCCTGTGGGTTGACGGTTACATTTGCCGACTGATCAGTGAATGAATGAATCTCTGGACCATTTTAAAGTGAACAGGGTCAACTCACTCGTGAGACTCTGTTGGCAGTTGGACAGTGGAGTCTCCTGTGATTGCGGGTGAGCCCCACATATCTCAATTTAGTGGGTAACCCCTAACATTTTGATCTCCCAAGATTTCGTTATCTCGGATCTGCATCCCCCCATTCAATCGCATCTTCTTTGCTTTTGTTTGTGTTGCGTCTGCGTCGCCATCTCATACTCTTCGATTTCAAGAGTGCATATTGCAGTTTTTCTATATATTTTATCCGTATATCTGTACTTTCTTTCTGTCGCACATACACCTACCATCGTCAATACTTGCTATCCTAATCTGCGCCAAGCTTTGTCTAAATTCTTTAGCTGCACCTGATTGCAACAACTTCTGATCGACAAAACTTGGTTCTCGTCCTCCACACACATGAGACTCCGGCTTCTTGCGACAATACTTTGAGACAAGTTTGTTCAGTACAGGCCACCGAACGAGCACTCCGCGACCTACCTTACGAAGACGAATATCGATGCTACCGACGACGTCATATCATTTTTCTCGATCATAAATTGCGATATTTGTGACATCAGTCATGATTTCTCGAAATCGCTCCGGTCGGCGCAGAAGTGCTGCTCTAGCCTTCGTCGTTGTAACTGTTCTCGTCCTCAACTACGCAGGCCTCTTGTCATTACCGTTCAGTTTCGAAGAACCCCCACAACCCGATCGCCCGGACTTTTATCATACACCACCATGTTCCCCAACTCTCGATCATCTACGACGCCCCTCGTACGGCCTAACGAGAGACATTATATACCAGAAGCGCTGCATCCGCCCTGTCGTAGACAAGAAGCTTGATAGCCAAGTTGTATCGCAGAACCCTGATGCCTTGATCAAGAGCGGCCAAATCGTTCAACTTGACCAGGCTTGTGAAGGATGGACCGAATCGACTTGCGAACCAGTCACTCTCAAGGTACCTCCGCCGTACCCTCAGCAGGACTACTCTGGATTCTTGTTTGGTGTTGCAACAAGTCTTGATCGATTGAACGAATCCATGTCGCAGTTTGAGAGTTGGCTCGGGAATACACATGCGCAATTACTTGCGGTTATCACCGATCCCGGCGACGAGTCCAAGTACAAACAAGTCACTGAGCAGTTCCGTCAGCGCGGGATCGAACTCAGCATCAAGGATCCATGGAACAAGGCCATCACATCCAACGAGCAGCACTTTGCAATCGTCCGCGATCTTCTGGCGCACGCTACTCCAAAGACGCAGTGGACTGCCATTGTCGACGACGATACCTTCTTTCCTTCCTTGTATCCCATGAGCAAGATTCTAGGCAAATATGACCACAAGCTTCCAGCATACGTGGGTGGGTTGTCGGAGAACTACGATGCAGTCAAACACCATGGCTACATGGGTTTTGGAGGAGCAGGAATCTTCCTCAGCCCAGCCCTTCTTCGCGAGCTTGACCCTCATCTGGAGGAATGCCTCAAAGTTGATCATGTGCCTCAAGGCGATGGTCTTCTCAAGCAATGCATCTACAGCAAGACCAAGACAAAGCTCACTGTTGTAAAAGGGCTTCACCAGTTGGATATGGGCGGAGACATGAGCGGTTTCTATGAGTCCGGTCGTCTGCCAATGACTTTGCATCACTGGAAGTCGTGGCACCAGGCCCCTGTTGACAAGATGGTCAAGATCTCCGAATTTTGTGGAAGTTGTTTCCTGCAACGCTTCGCTTTTGGCTCCGACACTGTTTTGACAAATGGATACAGCATAGTCCGATACTCTGCAGGCTTGGAAAGTGTGGACTTGAACAAGATGGAAGGAAGCTGGGAGGGCGCTGAAGGTTTCGACTGGAGTCTGAGCCCAATGAGATCGAAGATGGATCGTCGCTTGAAGAAGAGCTATTATCTAGTCGATACCGAAGTGGTTGGCAAGAATATTCGGCAAATTTACATTCACCGTCTCGAGGATGATATCCCCGGCCCGGACGAGAAATCTAAAGGCCCCAGGAAGACGCCACCCAAGATCGAAGAGATGAAGGATGAAGTGATAGAACTGATGTGGGAATTATGATAAGACACGAGATTGGACTAGACATAATGGTGTTCCCGGTCGGGCCGGATTTGTATATAAGACGAATGATACCAGATGACATATGGGACGGAGAGATAGACTGGTTTTGTAGATAATAATGCTAATGAGCCTTTCCTTATCCCGGCATTAATATGAGAACAAGAGGGGTCTTCTGATCTCTACCCCAAAAGGTACCACACCCTCCATCACAGAGAGCTAATGATTGAGAGTTTATCAGGCTAGAGCTCCACGCGGTATCGGCGTGCGGAGAACAATAGACTCCAAATATTTAGTGACTGACTATACAAAGGGCGTTTGGAACAAGATAAAAGGGTCTTGGTTGCCATCAAGACCCTTGATAACACCAGTTCTTACTCAATTCCACCTCAATCCCAAAAATGGCTTCCTTGTATCAGCTCAATGGCTCTCTGAAGCCTTTTGCAAAGCTACTCTTTATCCCCGCCGCTGTTTTGTTATCAATCTGGGTCGTCACCACCACTGTGAGTTCAACCCACTTTGACTAACTTACATCATGAACTTTCGTAGTTGACCAAGAAAACAATAGGCTAAGAGATGGATGCGCCATCGCAGACAGCACTTGCAAGCTGCCGAGGCTGCGATGGTACCACCTGAAAAAGTGCTAGCCATTGAACCTTTACACGGCTTCGACTGGAAGACTGCACCCAGGCGTCAGTTACGGCCATTCAAACCAACATACCACATAACAATGGGTATGTGCTCTTCGCCGGACAATAAAGTCCCTATCTCTGACTCTCTTGATAGCTATTCGAGCAGATACGCCATCAGAACTCATCACAATTGACGAAGATTACCTTGACCGCGTTACACATCGACGAAGTATCATTGCCACTCATGGCTCTACCGTTCACGGCTGCACTCCCGAAGGTGACGCCGCTGTGCGTGAGCTTTACACTTATCTCCTATCTGAACAGCTCCCCAAGCGCTTCCCTACCATCTTCAAACTCTCAAAGGACAACTCCATGTCCGAGAATCTCGCTACGGGAATGTCCTTCCCCACGCTGCCTGAGGGCAATATGGATGCGGCACTGCGCGTCCTCGGGGAGACTGTCGAAGAAGATATCTTCTTGTTGCAGGAGACTCCAGAAGGCCACCGCTCGGTTGCATTCATGTGTTGCTTTCCATCGGGCTTCGATCCCTCGTCTAAGCTTGGTAAAACGCTTGTGGAGATCCATGCACCTGTGCCGTCATATGAGAAGATCGGTTCCAGTATGGAGAAGTTCTTTTCGAAGCTGGAAGTTGGAAAGAGTGTCAAACGAACAAACGTGAGGAGTCTCCAAAGCCAGCACGCTGTAGTGATGCTAACATTCTGCAGTGGTCCGTCCAAACCCATACAGAACTGTTCAACTGCCAGGGCAACCACATAACTGGCGATGACAAGTACGAAAATGATGAAGATGTCGATATTGAAAAGGTAGGACGCTATCCCATGACTATATTTTCTCACTAACATATGCACACAGACTTTCCTTCGCATAGAACTCCAAACTCTAACTCGTCTGCCCAAGACACGAGCCATCCTTTTCTCTTTCAAAACCTATCTCTACCCTGTTCGTCAGATCAAGGACGAGGGTCTCGGGCCTGCTTTTGCCGATGCTATTGAGGGACTAGCCAAGGGCAATGCTCCCGGCATGTGGACTTACAAGAGCGCGGTACGATGGGGAAGCAGTGTAATTACTTATCTGAGATCATGATCGGAGCTGATGGAAGGGTCGATGAGTTGGGTACTCCATTGACTACCGGTGTGGGCTCTATGTGACTCATTGCAATAATGCCAAGAGAACGCTGAATCAATCAAGATCAATAAAAGACATTTTTTGTTCTGTGCTATTTCCCCAATCCCCCACTTTCATGACTATGCTTTGCCGTTCGTGAAAACATTGACTTCGCTGCAAGAAGAAAGTCGAAGTTCATGGCTGCTCTATTTGATCGTAGGAAGGTCTCGTAGTCAGTCATCCTGACTAGAAGTGTGCTTCTAGTGAAAGCAATTGGCTATGTAAGTTTCGTCCGCTCAAAATATATGTTAATTATTCTCTGCCAGATAACCATCCTCAACCGGGCCGGTGCTTCAGTTACTAAACCTTGTTTTAATAAGTCTAGAACGTTATCGTTGTGAGTGTGTCTACCCCGCGGATAACCTTCTTGAACTTGGTTTGCAGAATGTGGGGTGAATCGCATCGATCTCGGTGCTCTCTTTTTAGCTACCATATGAGGTAAAGTTAACCCGCTTCAACCATCTCGACTACTTCTCCTTTAGAAGTGCCTAGAGATTACAACATGTCTTCTATAATCCCAGATACACATTAAACCATAAAAAGTAACTCCTTCCTGAAGCCCTGAGTAACGACACAGCTGCCTGAACTCATATGCCAGCGCTGCTCTATCTAATGGTTCCCGTGGAGAAAAACAATCTTGAACCTTCCGTTGTGGGACATGACCGTCGCAGTATAGGTCTTATCGATAGATACCTTGTGGCTGTCCAATTGTCGTTTCGTGAATTTCCTCGTTACTTCGTCGTATCTATCCTTGTCGGTCGGTTTCAGCGCCATGCCTCCGCTGTCCTTTTTCACTCTACATTCTTTTGGGGCTCGAGGAATAATATCTTCAGTGAAGCCCCTGGAAGGGGTGTTGGGGTCTTCTGATTGCAAGAGGATGGGCCCGTCGTTGCCTGCGTAGTGTTAGCTTCCTCGACAAATGGTTTGGTGTGATATATGACCTTCAATGACAGACACCCCACCATACACCAGTGGGTAGCTCTGCCAGTTCACCTCTGCCCATGTGCCTAGATTGTGTGCGCCGCCATCAAAATCGATATCGTTACCGCGGACGAGTCTTCCGGAGAATGTTGGGCACCATGTTGTCAAGTCAACAAATACAGTTGTGTTGGAAGAAACCTTGAATACCATTAGTTCAAAGCCGACCTTGTAAGTAAGCCATGAGCTGTCAACATACCTTCATCGCGCGATATGGCTTCACGTCCATTCCGTTTTGATACACCATGAACCAGCGAGGAGTTCCGTCACCATAAGCAGTTTCAAGGGTTATACCTGGTTGACCAATGTCCAAGTCCCCGAGGAAAGGATCTATGAATTCAGGTCAGATCATCAACATAACTGCGTCTTTGAGTGCTTGCCGTACCTTGGATGAGTGTATAGTTACTCTTATCCGGCTCACCGCAGAAGTCCAAGGTCTGCGCTGCGGTGTCCTTGATAGGTACCGCACATACAGCCAGGGCAAAAAGGAGAAGGCAAATGTGTATCATCCTTGCAGATTTCTCCTTCCATTATCCTTTCAGAGTGAAAGCTTCAAGGAGTCAAGGGGTTGACAAAGAACGAAAAGGCGAGGAATTCTTTCAATGCATTACCTGAGGTAGATTGAAAGGTCAATTCCATCACGCGAGACATCTTTCGTGGATGTTACTGTCTCTTTCCTTCCTCATGAGGTGGTTGCCCATGAGGCAGTGTTCGACAAACCAAAAAGGTTCCATTGTTTGGGAAAGTGTCATCTGCACCTCTGCAGTTCATTTTATGGAACGGGAGGATGAATGTCGCTCGCCTTTTAGATCCCGATTAAGGTAATAGAAGCACAAACACAGGCATCCCGTAGTTTGCCTCGCTTCAAGATGTGATGAACGTTTCTGCTACTTTCCTAACGTTCGATCCATAAGGAGTTTTCGGAGTTTTCTCCGACTTCCTCTTTTGGTGATCCTGTGATGCATAGAGATCTGCCATTGGCTGTTCTCTGTCATTGACTCGCAAGTCTCGCAATTCTTGATGTCGTCTTTCAATTTGACAAGATTTTTCTGCGGGCAGAGAAAACTGAATACAGTCATTTGAGTAACCAGAGTCTTCGCGCAGTGGAAACTCAGGAATGAATAGTAAACATATCGCTACCAGTCGTTTTCCGCTATATGCAATGTTTGTTAAGGCGACTATGTACATGTTTGGCCTTCTCTTCGCACGTTTGACAACTCCAAAGACCTTAGTCATTATAATCAGGAACTTAATATCTCGCAATGGGCCAGTCCGTAACATTTCATGTTCGAGCTATTAATATTATATCCCTATGCCTTGCTGTGTCCGGTCGGGTTTCCGCTGATTACAAATGTTCATGAGATGCACTAACATCCATATTCCTGACTCATCCATGTTCAGCCCTGCCCAGGAAATGCAAACTGTCAGAATCCAACATACTACAGGCATCACGTTCTCATGCTAGAACATATCGACTGCTTCCAGTATCTCAATGTTCACCACGTTTGACATAACAACTTCGAATTCCCTTTCAAGCGGGAAACCTCCTTCTCCACCAACCTCACAACCCCGCCCCAAGAGGGCCCAGGTCTCACGCGCCTGTGACTGGTGTCGCTTGACCCGAGTGAAATGCGATTCTACCCGACCTTGTCGGAACTGCAAACAAGCCAGTAGAGAATGTGTAAACTCAGGGCGCGATGATTTCAAGAGTGTTGCCGCTGCCACAAGGTGAGTTAGACCTGAGTCTAACGAAGGGCGCAAAGCTGACAAGGACGTAGAGAGGTTCAACGGCTGAGAAGTCAGGTACAGCAGCTTGAGAATAAGTTACTGAGCCCATCTCCTTTGCCTCAAAATACCGGTTCTGCGTGTAAACGTCCATTAACGTGGAGAGGGGTTCAAGTGAATGGCATCCAGTACGGTCCATCCTCGCTGGCGTATTTCATTCATCGATTATCGACTTTCACCAAATTGAGCTTTGATACAAATGTCCTTTCAAGTCAAAAGCTACCAGCTACTTCATCTCCGCTTGATTGCGACCGATTGCAGCGTGAGCAACAAGACGCTCTCCTCGACCTTTACTGGCAGGGCTATCATGCGATTTATCCAGTGATCGAGGAGGCTACTTTTCGACAACTTTACGACTCACTCTGGATTGACAACACAAAAAGACAGGCATGCCCCCTGGTAGATATTGTGATCGCCTTGTGCATACAGTTTGGATCCTCATACACAACTTGTGACAATGTCCTTGTACCTGATCAGCCTGGTTTCGACTTCTACCTGCGAGCTCAGCAGGTGCTGGTTCAATATTTGGATTGTCCGTCTTTACAGTCGACGCAATGCTATTTTCTCAGTGCCATATACCTGTCGGCTTTGAATCGAGAAAACTCGGCCTACATGATGATTCGATCTGCCGTGGCTGCAGCAGAGTCACTTGGCCTGCAATTCGATAGCGACGATAAGACCCAAGACAACGAAGGTTCAACTCGCGCAAAGCCAGGCTCACGCTTATGGAGATGCCTTGTCACCTTGGACACACAGGTTTCTCTGCATTTGGGGCGGCCCTTCGCAATTTCAGAGCCCCGTCTGTATGAGCGTGAACACCCAGAATCCGACAGTATCGCTGAACTTGCCGGTCCAAATTTCACCCTTTCGCAGTCTTCTGGTATCAATTGGCTTCGGTTTCAGCATGAGAGGCAAGGCCTATTTCAGGTCGTTCGTGAGATTCATACTGAATTTGCGAGGGTTATGGAGGATGTTCTTTCGGAAATTGATCAGCCCGACTTTTATCAGCACCCTTCATCACGGGAGAAGTGCGCCAAGTATCTTTATGAGCAGCTCAAGCGTCTCAAGACCTGGGTTGAGGAACTCCCCAGTAGCCTCAAAACACCACGTGTGCAAGGTGTACCCTTCTCAGTTGATCGCTCGCCGCTGGATCTCAGCCAGGGCGATCCCCTTTGGCTTCAGAGACAACGGCTAGTGCTGGAATTTGACTACCATTCCTTGGTCATTATGCTAACTCGAACATTCAACTCATTTCTACCAACACCAGCATTGGGCACTTTTAATAGTGATAACCACTGCATCACTTGTGTGAACTCTGGGATCATGGTAACAAATATGCTAAACCAGATCAGCAGGGATTCCGGTATTCTTGCTGGGTGCTTTCAAGTATTTGACTGGCAGCGTACCGCCACTTTTGCCTTAGCTGGTTTCTCTTGCGGGTATCCCATCTGCCCAATGTCCCCCACGGCGCGGAAGACGTTGACACTAGCTGCGAGGGTTTTTGAGATATTTGGATCCAAAGCAGGTGTGCAGTTGACCAACAGTCTCAAGATAAAATGTCTAGAACTCGTGGAGTCATTCAGATCAAGGCTTGGTCTCACTACACCCGCGACGACACCAGTCAGTAATCAGAAAAGCCCGGAAACTTTGGATACTGCGGTGGAGCCGAGTAGTCATCAGATTATGAGTGTTGGTGAGGAAGCTTTATACAACGCAGGTTTTGATGCGACATTTAATGAGGATATGTGGACCGTCGACACACCAGGTGGACTCCTCTGGGGCGACTTGTTAAGAGATCTGGATTCAGGCCTGGTTTCATCTCTTGGACGGGTTGGAGTGGACGAATGATATCGCCATCATAATGAATAATGTCTTTGCCTTTCGAAATCCTTCCGTCAGCATCGTTTCCAGTGTTATCAGAGAACTCTGATCAGAACAATTAGTCCAGCTTAGAGGCCTGGGTAACTCATCATCCTCAGCCAGTCGTGAAGCGAGATAGTAGACCCAGAGACCTGGGAAAACACCACCAAAGACAAAAGGCATACCCCACGTGACCTCAATGAAAACACACAATGGCAGGGCCAATGTGGATGAGGCACGCTTCCTCCCGTCTCAGGTCTTAAACCTTACCCTTTTCGGTTGACGACCTAACGCTACGCAAGGTTCATTGGCCAAACCCCTGGTCACCAGCCACGGCAATGAGAGCCTCAGCAGCCTCATCGGACTGAGATCGGTGGCTTTGCTTGCTTTCCATGACTTCCAAGGTTGCGGGTGAACATTAACTTCCTCCGTACACAACAAATTGGCGTAAGCCCACGATAGCTTCATTAAGCCCTATCCAAACATCGCTTTTTTCTAGAAACTCTTTATCTCCCATTTACTCCCTTTTAGGCTACATTCACCTTGGCTATTCCATCATTTTACTTCACTGTTCATCGTTTCATGCCGCGGTTCGTCCACTGCAATCGACCGACCGCGGGACCCAGGCGACCAACCATCACGCATACTTGACCGCGTTGGCTTAAGAAAGCAATCGTCGCATTACCGGGAGCACGCACGCGCATTCAATTTGGGACATGCTTTGATACAGGCAACCCAGGGCGCATTCTCCACCATTGCCGCGATCGCATTCCATCATCCTTCTTCACAGACGGACGGCTGCAGGTGTCGCTGTTTGTATGCGCATAACCCCCCGCCGTTTGGGACCATCTCTCGTCTTGTAGCTGCAACCGAGCCGCCTTTCTTGCCGACCTTTTCCTGTACAACTCTACACAACTGAGCGGTCGTGCTGCGAACAACATCATCATCATCATGAGTGTCCCTTGTAAGTTGCCCTGCCACCCCTTGGCACAGACCCCCTTCATCGCGACCTTGGACCTTGAATAACACCATATAACAACAGTGACTACCGAAGAGCTCGAGCGCTATACCGCTATCATTGATGACATCCTTGAGACGTCCGATCTTGAGACCATCTCACGAAAGAAGATCCGGCAGGGGTTAGAGAACAAGCTCGGCGGCCAAGATCTGAGCGAGCAGAAGGTATGCCGACAAACACAAGCATTGCCTCGCCGCTCCATTTGGTATTGCCCTATACTTTTCGCCTGCTGACTTGCTAGAACGCCATCAAACGACTTATTGAAGCTCGGTTCGACGCGGTATCCGGGGCCAACAACGGAATCGAACCCCCCTCCACTGTCGACTATGCGGCCAACGGCACATCCGATGTAGGCGAGACCGAGCAATCCGCCACCCCGGAACCTTCACGAAAGAAGATTAAGCGATCTTCATCGGCTGAAGATGCGGACGCCAAGCTGGCCGCGCAACTCCAGGCACAAGAAAACAGCTTGGCCAGAGGGCGCAAGACTCGAGGGGGTGACAAGGCAAAACCTACCAAGAAGAAGGCGGCGCCGCGCAAGAAAAGTGCGAAGAAGGTCAAAGCCGACGACGACAGCGACCTCGAACCAGCCGATGGTGAGGTTGGCAAGAAGAGAAAGGCTGGTGGTGGTTTCCAGAAACCTTTCAACTTGAGCGAAACCCTCTCTGAACTTGTTGGCGAGACGCAGGTACGTGAACCGTTTCTTTGTATACTGCACAGGGCTTTATCCTAGATCTCTCATGAGGTTGTGCCATGGCTTTGTCTATTCAGCCCATGTCTTGACGAGATCAGACAATTGCCTGAAGGGGCTGGCGGCCTCTATCCTGATCCGGACTATCCAGTCTATGTCTTGCAGCTAGTCTTTCCATCTGGATAATTACATGCAGCTGGGGCAGAGCCAACGCTAACACAATTCTAGCTCTCACGACCTCAAGTTGTCAAGAAGCTCTGGGAACACATTAAAGCAAACGACCTTCAAGACCCGAATGACAAACGTCAAATCATTTGCGACGAGAAGATGCAAGCAGTCTTTAAGCAGGCCAGGGTTGACATGTTTCGGATGAACAAGGATATCGGTAGCCATCTTTACCCGGTTGGCGAGGAATAAACGGCAGAGCGACTACATCTGCGGAAAGCATAGTACCTCTGCAAAGGTTTCGATGAAAGCGTTTGGGCGCGCGGCGGCGTACCGGTAAAGTGTTTCTTGTCTAGCTATTGGCAATTGGTAGGTGCTATATAATGAATCCCAAAGAATTCCGAAAGGCTCAAGATTGTCTCTTTCGTACCACTTGGGTGGTGATTCAGGAACATTATGGTGGGGATAAAGACTACCCTACAATGGGAGGATATTACTTGCAAAACTCGATCTACGTGAGGGTGGGATTGCTCTAGAACTCTAGTATTTGATAATAATACCTACCTACCTTGAAGCATGCACCTCTGAAAAAGAATTGTTGATTACACCCTGATTGAAAGTGGATTGTCTACTAAGGTACCCTGTGATCTGTACCCCCCACTCAAGCCACTCAATCTGTGCTGCACCAAAGTGGTCCCAAACAGCGTAAGCACTTGCATAAATGGGGACTCTCACGTTCCTGTGAGACCTTGATGTTTGTAAGTCAAAATACAGCTTTTCTACTATTCATGTGTCACATCTGTATCTCATGTCCGCCTTTTGAGAGCTTCCAATTATGCAATCCTCTCTTCAAAGCACGGATTTAAACTCAGGCTCCGGTTTTCGGGTAGTCGATTGCCCCGCGTTGCCGGTTGCTACCCCGTGATTTGTGAGATCATGGAAGTTGTTATCTTTGTGTCACTGATTCTGCCATCCAACTTGTTGTTCTCTCAGCTATTGACGACTTCTTTATAATCCTTCATTATGCCACTGCCTGCAAGACCTTTGGATGCCCTTAGTCAGGCATTCCCTCCCAAGCCCAAATTCACAGAGGCAAATGTCCCCGATCTTACAGGAAAAGTGACCATTGTCACCGGAGCAAACACTGGAGTCGGTCGCGAGATTGCCCAGGTTCTTTACAGCAAGAATGCAACCGTCTGGGTCGCTGCCCGTAGCCCAGAGAAGGGTGAGGCTGCCATTGAGGGCATCAAGAAGCAGCACCCTGAGTCGAAGGGCACCCTCAAGTTTCTCAAGCTCGACCTCGCAGATCTAACAACAATTGGGCCTTCAGCCAAGTCGTTCCTGGAAGCTGAGAGCAGACTTGATATTCTGTTCAACAATGCGGGAGTTATGACACCACCAGAGGGATCCAAGACTGTGCAGGGGTACGAGCTCCAGCTTGGAGTCAATTGTCTTGGTCATTTCTTGTTCACCAAGTACCTCACTCCTCTTCTTCAAAAGACGGCGAAGTCTGCGCCCAAGAATTCTGTTCGTGTGATCTGGGTGTCTAGCTCAGCGGCGGATGTTCTCGCCCCGAAGAATGGATTTGAGCGTGATAACCTCGATTACCATGAGCCACGAAACCTGGTGTTCAAGTACGCAACAAGCAAGGCTGGCAACTTCTACCACAACACAGAGTTCGCCAGGAGGTTCAAAGATGATGGCATCGTGAGCGTGGTACGTTCTATTCTCTATGACAATCAAGCGATCCATACGGAGTGAACTAACATTGAACCCAGTCTCTGAACCCTGGCAATCTAGCAAGCGAACTTGATCGCACCTCACCCTGGTATATGTACTATCCTAGAACCATTACCACCTATGCTCCTATCTATGGCGCGTACACAGAGCTATTTGCTGCCTTTTCTGAAGACATCACAATCGAGAAATCCGGTATTTGGGGTACGCATTTCCTTTTCCTTATGCGGAAGCGAGCCCAAGCATTTACTGACAATTCTCTCAAGTGGTTCCATGGGGTCGATTCATGCCTATCCGCCCAGATCTTGAGAAGGGCGCTTTGCCCGAAGCTGAAGGGGGAACAGGTATGGCAGAGTTCTTCTGGAATTGGTCTGAGGAACAAGTCAAGCCGTACTATCAGGCTTGATAGTTTTCCTATAATGTATAGTCTATGATACTATTTTCTTCAGTTTACAATATCTTGGCTTTAAATCCCATGTTGTGCAACGATTTGAGAACTTATGAAGGCTTATAGTTTGACTTGTCTTATGCTAATCCAATGTATTCGGGGATCGTCAGTGCGTCGACTGAGCAAGTCTATTGAACAAGGTGCCTTGCGCTGTGTTGATACACATGCTTGCTGTTGATGGAAGTTTGAGGCATGTCGTGGCTTACGGCTGTTGGACTCCGATCAATGACTGATGGAGGATGAAATGAAGGAAAGCCTGTTAATTCAAGAGATCTCGTCAAGCTATTGTCGCTAGGCCCAGCTTTGATGAGCCTTAATGAGTCAATAGATGCCAATGCGAGCCTTTGTCACTCCAGGCTGGGATCTTTCTGGCCGGTGACTCCCATATTGAATGACGGTTTCAAAGCCAATGAAAGGGCCCAATTTGAGCATCGCCCCAATGCTTGTGAGTCTTAGGCGAGATTACTCAGCCACAGACGCAGATGGAAGTGGCTTCGCGCCACAACAGGGCAGTTCCATCACTGGTCTGCCCCGCCATTTCAGAGAGGGAATGCTAAATAAAATCTGGTCGACATCATCATCTCGCCTTCGCGATTCACCTTGAAACTACAACCATTTTACATTCATACAATAATAGCACACCAGTACGGCTTCACCAAAAGGCCGCTCATACTTTCTATTTATCCGTAGTTTTACTCGTGCACTTGACAGCTTTCTATTTCGATACAGCGACTACCCCTCTACCGAGCGACATAATCATAGCTCTGGTCCCCTTGACTTCTACATTGTCCGAATTCGCAAACATTCCAGCTTCAGAAAGCTTGGGACAGCCCAAAATGGCTTCACCGGAAGGAGACAGCAATACTGGAGCGACGGCTTCCGAGTCTCAACCACAAGGCGACGGTCAGCGCAACAGAGGACGAGGCCGAGGAAAGGGTAATCAGAACCGACGAGGCGGCCAACGGCGTGGCCGTGGTGGTAACAACGCCAGCGTGCCCAATGTTCCCGCAAACCCGGCTGCTCAAGATGTCGCAGCTGCAGCTTCCAGAGCTCACGCCATGGCTGCAGGCAAAGCCGCTGAAGCCGCCGAGGATGATGAGGTGTGCTTTATCTGCGCGAACCCAGTCGCTCACCACTCTATCGCGCCTTGTAACCATACAACATGCCATATTTGCGGTTTACGCATGAGAGCACTTTATAAGACAAAGGACTGCGCTCACTGCCGTGTATGTTGCCCTTTTCTGTACCCCTGACAAGGGCTCTATCGTTAACAGTATTCTAGACCCCAGCTGCCTATGTCATCTTTACCGACGACCCCGAGAAACGTTTCGAGGATTACTCAGAAAAGGATATCACAACCACCGACAGCAACATCGGAATCAAGTACACAAAAGAGGATATTGTGGGCGATACAGTTCTCCTCCTGCGATATAACTGCCCCGACGCATCGTGCGATTTCGCTGGCCTCGGCTGGCCTGACTTGCACCGCCATGTCAAGTCCGCTCACCGCAAGCGCATGTGCGATCTATGCACTCGTAACAAGAGGGTATTCACACATGAGCATGAGCTATTTGCGGATAAGGAACTGGAGAAGCACATGCGTCATGGAGACGATAAGCCCGGCGCGGCTGACCAAACAGGCTTCAAGGGTCACCCTCTATGTGGGTTCTGTGGAGAGCGGTTTTACGACGACGACAAGCTGTACGAGCATTGTCGGATGAAGCATGAACGCTGCTTTATTTGCGATAGGCGAGACTCACGACACCCCCATTACTACCTCGACTACAATGCACTCGAAGAGCATTTCAAGAAGGATCATTACCTCTGCAGTGACCGAGAATGTTTGGAGAAGAAGTTTGTAGTCTTTGAGTCGGAACTGGACTTACAGGCTCACCAATTGAGTGATCATGGTGGCAAGGCAACAGGCAGAGACGCACGAGTAGTCAACATCTCAGGATTCGACATTCGGACGCCATATCAGCAGGAGAGAGGCGGAGGCGGTAGTGGGAGAGAAGAAGGACGACGGGGAGGCAGAGATGGGCGAAGAGGAGGAAACAGAGGCCGCGACCCTAATATGGAACCGGTTCCTGCGAGCTCCGCCCAGCCATTGCGACGAGATGAGATTGCCTTCCAGCGACAAATGGCCATCCATTCTGCGCAATCTGTGTCCAATCGCACATTCGGCGGTGCACTCTCTGCGCCTTCACCCACACCCGCTCAAGCCTCGTCACAATCTCGTGGTGGAAGCTCATCAAACACTCCTCGGGCCAGTCAGGCAAACCTTGCTAATCCCATCGAATCTGCTACTGTTCCGGATCCTGCCAACCTCAGCCCCGAGGAGCGTGCCAGACTTGTTCGCCACGGTGCTGTAGTCGAACGAGCATCAAACCTTCTCGGCAACGATGCGCAGCGCATGGCAACATTCCGAAACCACATCTCTACATATCGCCAAGGCGGACTTACTGCACCTCAACTTATCGATGCTTTCTTCACTCTCTTCGCCGATACTTCCTCAAACGCTCTGGGTACAATGGTCCGAGAGGTTGCGGATCTCTATGAGGACAAGAACAAGGCCGATGCTCTTCGAAAAGCCTGGCAGGACTGGCGTGCCATCAACGAAGACTACCCCAGTCTGCCTGGACTAAGTGGTATGCATGGCGCAACCTCGAGTTCAAGTGGTTGGGCCAATGCAGCATCTGCCAACCCAGCAGTTCCTAATGCAACGGCGACACAAAAGTACTCAAACCGTGTCTTGAAGCTCAAGAACAGCACAAGACTCGGTGGCCCTGCACCTGTGTCCTCTAGCGGAGCTTCATCGTGGGCCTCTCGTCCAGCTGTCAGTGCTCCCCCATCATCCTCCAACGCATTCCCGTCTCTTCCCTCGGCTGGTAACTCCTCATCCTCTGCCTCTCGCTCCAACTGGACGACCCCCACTCCTTCGTCCTCACAATCCACAACCCTCAACCGTCCCCGTCCTGCTCCTCGTCCTACTGGCGAGGATGCTTTCCCAGCTCTTCCCACAGCGCCAAAGCCTACCACTACAATCTTTGGTTATGGAAACGGCCGGGCCGTGCGTCGCGACTATGGAAGTCGTGAAACGGGTTTCCAATGGGGTGGCAGCGGCTCAAATACACCAGCTGGTGAAGAGCCGGCCGAGGATGGCGAGGCTGGTGGCAAGAAAAAGGGCGGTAAGAAGGGCAAGAAGGTACTTGTGCAATGGGGCTAAAGTCACTTTTTGATAGAGTTCATGTGTAAATATTGGCAGGTCATTTTGTACCATTCGATTGGTGTTAGTATCCCGAGGATGTCGGGCATTGAACTGGGAATATGAAGTGGCATAGCGACTGGGGTGATTGGGCCTTGACTGTTGAGGTAGCGAACAAAGTTAGGCGTAGCAATAGCAATGTACACCATTCTGCCATGTTGCTTCCTCAATTGCACGGTTGCTGGGGTCAAGAGACGAAGGTGTTGCTCAATACCTTCATCTGAATCACTTGTCATAAGCTTAGAAGACTGAATATATCATCAAAACTTTAGGGGACTATGACTACATTGTCACAAGGTTAGCAACATTATGACCATATTGTCATAAGCTTAGGTATACTACGAGTACATTGTCATAATTATGAGTACTCTGATCAGGTTATTATGAACTTAGGAGAGACTGTGGATATATCGTCAAAACTTGAGATTACGAAGACATTATCATAAGCTTAGGAATACTATGAGTACATCATTATAAGCTGGTGAATCTATGGTCAGACCATCTCATTGGTAGAGACTGTGTTAGTGATGTCGGTGTCACCATTCTTTCTGCTGCTAGTAGATAGAGCCTCTGTCATCCCGGATGCAGCTTTAAAGTGCTTTACCATCGTCTCGGCGCAATTGAGAAGGCAGCCTCAAGGAGCAAGAAAACGTGAGACTTTAGAAGAGGATGTCAAAATAAACTCAGTAAAGACTCCCTAAAATTACACTAAATTGCCTAAATCCTTTCGTCGCTTAGGATAAAGGTGCCTAAAGGGCCGCGGGTTCATAATACTCGCGGAATCTGTCCGACCCGTCCCACCGCACGCTCCAGACCACGTTCCAACAAATAAGCAATAACATTGGGAATCTGACGGTCCAAAATGCAAGATAACCTTCAGGCAGGGACCCCACGGTCTTTTTGAGTGCCTCAGGCATATCTTCATAATGGTTTTTCTTATTCCGTAGGGCCCGAAGCAGGTCAAGAAGCCGGTTACCCGTGTATTTGCGCTGCTTCCCGAGAGAGTCAACGAAGTCACGTGGTAAGACCTTCAAGAAGTCATGAGTGACCTCCCCTGCGTGCCTTTCAAGCTCGACCAGGGCGGGCGAAGGGGGGTCCCTTGGCTCCTTTTCAAAGTGGTCCGACACGTCGCAAAGGAATGCAAGCCTCTTCTTCGGGGACCAGAAGAAGGGATGGGCCATGATTTCCTTCGCATTAGGACGGTTCTTGGGGTCTGCTTCAAGCATGGAGGCGATAAGGTCCTTAGCCTCGTAGGCAAAGTCTCCGAGAGAGTCGAGGAGGTCCAGGTTATACTGCCCCTTTCGAATATTGACCTCTCGCATATAGCGATCGCCGCAATCAAAAGGATGGGATCCGTTGGTCAAAACATAGAAGAAGACCAGTCCGAGCGAGAAAATGTCAATCGCACGAGTAGCACGCCGGGGCATCATGTTATCGTCCAAAACCGAGCCGGAGCCGCTTTGGGTGCTGGCCTCCATCATGGCACCTTCTCGAGCATCGTCGTCGAGCAGAAGCTCAGGAGCACGCCAGCCTGATGTTCCAGCGGCACGACCCGTAGTGGCGCCGAAGGATGATTGGCCACCCTCCAGCTTCTTGCAAAGTCCGAAATCAGAGACTAGCATTCTAGGCTTGCCATCCTTGCCCATATTGACCAAAATGTTCTGCGGCTTGAGGTCACGATGGACGATTCGGAGTTCATGTAGGTGGCTGATGCCGTTGGTGATCTGGTAAAGGATGTTTGGCAAATCGTGACGGCCGGCGTTGGCAAGATCCCGGAAATAGTTGGGCTTTTCGACCACGTCGGCTAATGAAGCGGCGCAACGCTCCAGGGCAATGTAGAGAAACCCATCGCGGATCTGTTGGGAGTAATATCGAATAACTGCAAGTGTTAGAGTGTTGGTTCTTCAATGGCATAATAGCTTACCATTCGGGTGATCATCACTCTCTCTCAATAGCCTTGTCTCTTGGGACGCGATGTCATAAAACTGGATCAACATGCGTTTGACGGCAACCGCTCTTCCATCAAATTTGCCAGCAAAGACTAGAGTGCCATTGCTTCCTGTGCCCAATTGCTCATCCGTGTTCACCTCGATGTTTCCCATACGAATCGTCGAGCCTGTCACAGACTGCATGTCGTCATGCACGGTCATTACGTCCGGCTCGAGGCTGGGCCTCTCGCCCAGCTTCTTCGCGTTGTTGACCGCATCCTCGACAGTGGCCGTAGCCGGATCATCGCCTCGAGATAGTGAGGTTTCCTGAGCACGACCCTTGCGATGTTTGACACCCCCACGTCTACCTCTGTGAGCCTTCTTCTTCTTTTCAGGGGCTCCACCATCCTGACTTTCATTTGTGGCCGTAGCCTTGGATTGAGGTTGAGGAGTATCGGGAGTATCTACTGACCTCTTGCCGGTCTTCCTCTTGGGCTTCGGGGTCTCTTCCCTATCACTGAGCTCTATCTCTCTTATAGGCGTTTGGGGTAAAGTTTCGGGCTCCAATTTGGATGATTCAGGGGCGGGGACCACGGATTCTTTGACCTTCTCCTCCAAACTTTCCCTAGGTGCTGCGGGCTTGGGTTCTTCATTGGCTGGGTCGGCCAAGTAGTCAACGTTGCCGTCAGTGTCGCTGCTATCAACTTCATCCGGTTGCGCTGTGTAGACAGGGGCCTCAACAAAACCCAGTATATTCTGCAATTCGTTCCAAAACCCCCTTCTCTTCCCTCGCTGGAGGTGACGACGGATATTCTTGTTATTGAAATAGAGCAACGAAACGAATATGATGATGACCACGGGGTTGGTAATGAAATCCTTGACGCTTTGTGCAGCAATTAGAGGCAGCTTTTTGGCGTTGGTAAGGAAGGTAGGCTCATCCGAAAATGTCAGGTCCGTGGTTTTCGAGTCATTATTCTCAAAATCGTCGTGGCCATCATATACGTCATACACTTCTGGACCTTCGATGGCACCGGCGGGCAAACTTGGCGTATGTGTGCCACCTCTGTTGTTGACGGTATCGAGGAAATGTGTGCCTACCAAGACCTTCGAGAGTTTGGTTTGGTTGATGGTGTCCCAAGAGGGAGCAATGTCCCACCAATCGGGACGGGATAGTTGAGCGATAGGGGCATGTATAATAAGAGGGTATGATCGTCCAGACATGACGTACCAGTCCCCAGTCCGAGTCTGGTTGAGAAAGATGCTGTTGCTGCGCATACGGGCGTGGGTCTCGTCTTGTGGGGGCATTGGCGGTTGAGGGAGGACCACAAGATCGGGGTTACTGTCTGATGTAGCATCTCCTGGTCGGCATACATCAAAGACTCGGGCTACAGGTGCAGCGAAGTGTTCGCTGAAAAGCGGCTCTGCCTTTTCAGATCTTGCGTAGTCAAACGCGTAGACCTTGCCGTCGTGCTGGCTTGTGATGTACTTCTTATCTAATGAAGACTGGTGCTGTTGAAATAGGTCACTGTCGTAGTTATTAGGGCTCCACTCAGAGTATCTGAGGGTAGCGATAGGAAGACCATCATCACGTCGCTGGATATCAACAGTATATTCGGTCCTCCCCAATGTGATTGTTCCTGTAGAGCTACACTCCTGGTTGTTTTCGTCGTACAACGTGTCGGGGCGTGCGCAGCTTTCGGCTTCGTTAACATGAGACCCTGTAGCACCGAACCACTTGAGAACTCTCCCTGTGGCTGCATCAAGAGTAATCATGGTGGTCTTCTTATCGCCAGTATAGACGACGGGGGAGCTCTCGTCGGCGTAAGGGGCCAGTTCTTCGACAAGCTTCTTCATGGTAAAGCCAGTTTTGACAAATCCACGATTGGAATCGGGGGCCCAGAGGTATATTCCACCGTCACGGTTAGGCTCAACAGCCCAAACATAATGGTCGACTTGGCGATAATTTTCATCCAGAATGGACCTCTCTGAACGGTAGTGTTTAGTCTCTACCATAGGGTGGTCGACTTCGAGATGCCAACGCTCTTTTCCGGTTCTTCGGTCGTTGGCGTATAGGTCTCCATCGACGGTCGCCAGAAGAACAAAGTCTTCCACTTCCCAATCCTTCAGACTCCGCGCAATCTGCGGCGAGGCAAGCCCAGAAGCAGGAATGCTGCTGGACCGTTGTCGTGAAGGGTTTGGTGCTCCTACGGACTGAGCCGGAGCCAAAGTTGCGAGGGCGCTCGCATCGTCAGGGATAATTATATGTTCGTTTTCGGTTTCGTATTCTCTCTTCCGGTTCTTACGGGCAGGCTCGTTCTTCTGTTGTCGCTGTCGCTGGTTGGCAACGGAAGCCCGCCTCACATTCTTGACGGTCTCGCGGGCCGACTTAGTCACGTCAACGGGCGTCGCGGCCCATTGATGCACGGCATCATCGGCTAGCTGCTGACTGCGGCCGCCGGGGCGCTGCAGTTGTGGTAGACCTGGTTCAACTGGTCGATGCTGCTGCTGAGCATCAACAAGCTGTAGCCAGGGAAGAAGAATGATAGCAAAGGCGATGAAGAGTCTCTGTTGCTGTTGGGCCCGACGCCCCTCGCCCGGAGGTCGTCGCAGCATTTTGATAAAGGTTGACGATGTGATTGATCACATGGAACCCATCAGAGAGGATGAGATGGAAGCTTAGTGCGGTGAATCGGCAACGGCCATGGAAGGGATGAGATTCGATCGATATCTTCTTGGTTGGGCAGTCACGTCACACCACCGTTCGTTCGTTCGTTCGTAGGTAGGTAGGTAAGAAGGTGCGGAGCCGACGCGGCAGGAGGGGAGCGTAGAGGGTCCAAGTCGAAGCCTCACGATTTAAACAGCAGCGAGTAACGTTATTGATAAAAGATACTGATAAAATGTGATTCTAGGTGGAATGAAAGAGCAGGTTGGAAATGGAAAACGGAGGAAAAGGTTGGGGTAGGAGCCCGGGTTTTACGAGTGACCCCTTCTTTTGCCCTGCCCTGGAATTGTCCCTCGGGGGGTAAGAAAAAA